ACTGTACTTGTTTGTAAGCTGGAGTCCTCGCTAAAGTCTCTCCAAATGCCAAAATAAGTAGGATTTTACTCTGGATGGAATCCAGCTTCTTTTTTCTGATGAGTGGAGCTCCTTTCCATATCTGCCACGGGAGTTCAGTGTCACTTCAAGTTCCACTTCTCTCTTAGTCTCACCAGGCCCCCTTCCCAGGTAGTAGCTCACTTTCACTAGTGGGTGGCTCTTTCCTTTAGCTGGAGGTCAAATGCTGCTCTGGCTGCTGCTGCTCAGTGAAAGGGGGTGGAGGGATGGGGCTTGAGACTCCTGCTATTCTGAAGTCAGTAGTTTACTCTCAGCAGCAATGCGCAAGGGTTCCTATCTTCCCATATCACCACCAACACTTAGTATCAAGTACCTGGAAATCTGTTGCCAGTCCGATGGGTATAAACTGGTATCGCAGTGTTGGTTTAATTTATGTTTCTTTTATTAATAATGAGGTTGAACAGCTTTTGGTAACTTTGGTTTCTTTCTCTGTGAATTGGCTATTTATATCTTTTCCTATTTTTCTATTGAATTGTATAACTTTTTCTTATTGATTTGCAGGAGTTTATTATATACTTTGACTATTAGGGCCTTTTCAGTTTTTTGTGTTAGAAACATCTTCTCTCATTTGTCTGTTAATCTTATTTACAGTGTCAGCAATTGAACAGAATTTTGGTTAAATTAAATTAATCAATTTTTCATCTTACATTTTATGCTGTTGAGATACTGAGGCTTTCCCCTACTCCAGTGTCATAGAAATATTGTTTTATGTTTTCCTCTGTTAATGTTATAATTTTACCCTCCACATTTAGGACTTTGATCCATCTGGAGTATACCTTTGTGAATGGTGTAAATTGGGATCCAGTTTAATTTTAATTTTTTCCACATGTTGATCCTGTTTTCCAAATACTGTCTATCTACTAAGTGGTCTGTTTTCTGTCATTACTTGTAGCGCCCCTTTATGATTTATCAAGTTCCTAGATGTGGGTCTTCCTTTACTCCCTTTTCCACTCCATTGGTTTATTGGTCTGTTCTTGGGAAAGATCACTGTTTGTGCTATTGCAGCTTTGTAGTACGTCTGTATTATTTGGCTGGGGCTGCCATAACAAAATACCACAGACTGTGGGGCTTAAACAACAGAAATTTATTTCCTCACAACTCTGGAAGCTAGAAGTCTGAGATCAGAGTGTTGGCAGGTTTGGTTTCTTCCCAAGTCACTCTCCTTGGACTGTGGATGGTCATGTTTTCCCTGTGTCATCACATGGTCTTCTCTCTATGTGTCTCTGTGTCACTGTTCTCTTTTTATAAGGACATCGGTCATACTGTCATATATCAGGCCCACCGCAATGACTTCATTTTAACTTAATTACCTCTTTAAAGAGATGGATCTGTCTCCTAAAATATTCATATTCTGATGAGATGCTGGGGGTTAGGATTTGGGGGGGCAGGGGACAAAATTCAGCCCATAATCTTGTCTTAATATCTAGTATAACAATTTTCTTTCTCCTTTCTTTTCTTTTTAAAAATATTATCTTAGCTGTTTATAGATCTTTATTTTTCCATAAGTATTTTATAATAGATTGCTTTTGTTTCTAAAATTACCCAGTTGGAGTTTTTATTGAGGTTGCATTGAATTTATACGTTAATTAAAAAAATTAAAAAGTAGCACATTTATAATGTTAATTCAAACCCATCCAAGACCATGGAATATCTTTTAAATTTATTTAGATATTCTTTTTTGCCATTAATAACAGTGTCAATTTTTTCTTCATAGAGACCTTCGAATTCTTTGCTAAGGTATTTCCTAGCTACATTACATTTCTGGTTGTCATTGTTAATGATAATTTATTTTCTGTCACGTTTGGTAGTTGATTTTTGTTAGAAATGCCACTGACTATAGTTAAGTTGACTTTGAATCTCGCAACCTTATTAACTTTTGTTAGTTTGCTTGTTCTTTATTTTTTTCTAAGTAGATGGCCTATTGTCTGCAAATAGTGATAGTTTTATTCTTTTTTCTTTCAATCTTTATACCTTTTATTTGTTTTTCCTGTCTTATGGCATTGACTAGTGTATGTAGTACTGTGTTAAACAGTGTACTGGATGCTACGAATCTTTGTTTTGTTCCTAGGTATACTAGCTATTCATTGCTATGTAACAAATTACCTCAAAATATAGTAGCTTGAAACAAAAAGTGAACATTTATTATCTCACACAGTTCCTGTGGGTCAAGAATTTGGAATCAGCACAGTTGGGTGGTTTTGATTTAGGGAATCTCTGGAAATTGCAGTCAATTGCAGTCATCTGTGGCTGCTATCAACTGAAGGCTTGACTGAGGCTGGAGGATGTGATTCCACAGTGACTCACTCACATGGCTGTTGACAGTTCCTTGCCATGTAGTCCTCTGCCTAGTGCTGCTTGAGTGTCTTCATGATATGGTGGTTAGCTTCCTACAAAGTGAGTGATCTAAGAGACAGTGATCTATGTCAGAGCAAGATGGAGGACTTAATGTCTTTTATGACCTAGTCTTGGAATTCATACTCCCTCACTTACACAGTGTCCTTTTGGTTACACAAGTCAGCCCTACTGAAGGTGAGAGGGGGCTGCATGAGATTGTAAATATCAGAAAACAGGGATCATTTGGAAGCCATATTGGAGTCTGGCTGGCATGCTAGTTTTAAAGAAAATGCTTCTAATTTTTTCTGTTAAGAATGATGTTTGCCACTGCCTCAGGGCCTGCCCAGGAACCCAAGGCAAGGAGCAGAGACTGGATACTCCCCACAACCAGACACATGGCCAGCACAAAGGAGCATGCCAAAAACACCACCTCCATGTGGGTGGCCCACTACAGCCACCAAAATAACAATGGCTGCTACAAAAGCAGCTAGACACCACAAGAACCATACAGATGGTCTGCCAGCCACTGGAGTGCATTGACACAAGGAGAGTCACCATCAGAGATAAAGAAAAGAAGAGGACATCTCTCCCCACAAAGCCCATTTCAGAGTGACAGAGAAGCGTCTGCTCTATGATAATATTGGGGGACCTGATCACACCTCTCAGCATTAGACGGATCATCTAGGCAACAAATCGACAGAATAACCATTATTCTTTCAGAAGGAGAGAAAAATCTAGGGAAATTAGAGGGGGAAGGAGGGAGGGAGAGGAGGATGGGGAGAGATTGGACAAGGGGCATAAAGAATAATTATGATTTGTAACAATATATATGCTAGTAATATTGATTTGATCAACATATCTCAATGTTGAACCCCCAAAATATGTATAATCAATTTTGATTCAATAAAAAATTTTTTTTTCTTTTGGTGGCTGGCGCAAGGATCCGAACCTGTGACTTTGGTGTTATAAGGCTGTGTTCTAACCAACTGAGCTAACTGGCCAACCCCTA